GAAACATATGCATGTTTCATAATGCTGATTGTGTAGCTGAATGAATGAAATGATTATTGTATATATGTGTGGCATGTGATATTTTTGTAAAGGGTCCGAGTTTCACATGTTGTTGGCCTTTAGGAAGAAACGGTGATAAAGGAATGTTCCGTGTTCAAGCTCTACATCAGAAAATAATTTTGATTCATTCCTCTGTTTGTAAAAAATAGTGCGTGTGCAGTGATGCAGTGGAAGTCTATGGGGCAAAACATTGCAGCGGGATTAAATAAATGAAAAACTACAGTCACAAGAATTCAACATTGTGTCGACATGACACTACTGTGATAACATTGCCTTCCTACTAACCCTATGCAAACTTAGACATCTGGTGTTGGATTTACTTTCAAACAATTTTTACAAATAAGTACAAACACATTGAAAATTAACTGCAATTTTGAAGTAGAAAACTGAAATAGTTTGTTCTTGTAAAATGTACTCCGATAATCTGTTATTTTAGTTTTATTATACTTTCATTCATATTTTTTATCACTGTAGCTTTTACTTTTATATTTTTAGTTTTCATGTTCATTTTAGTTTAATTTTTAATTTGAGCATTTAATGAGTAATGAGTTTTTTATTTCGGTTTAATTTATTTTTACTTCGTTTTAGTTTTAATTTATTTCCAGTTAATCATTTTAGTCCTATTTAAATATTTATTCAGTTTATAATATTTTTCCTTATTTCAGTTTATTGTCAAGGCAACAAAAAAAATGTTTAGTTAAAAAATTTCAACTAATATTTATATTTTGTTTTATTTCAGCTTTATTTTAATTAACAGAAATATTTTAATCGTTTTTGTTTTTGTTAACAATGATAACTCTTAATATTTTTTTTATTTACAATTTAAAAAACAAATCATTTTTACAGTTTATGGAGGACTGAGTGCCAAAAAGTTTAAAAAAAAAGAAAAAAAAAGTCAAATGAATAAATGAATCAATTAATAATATATTAAATTCCAAATATATTAATTCAAAATAAAAATGTTTTTAAAAAAATGACCAATAAATAGATGTATCTGTTGAGTATCAATGCAAAGATGCCAGAAAAGGACTTTTACACTGTAAAACATTTCCACCTTATTTCAACTTAAAAACTTAAGTTCAGTTTCTGCCTTCAATTTTTGAGTATATTCACATTGGCTCTACAAGTCATTCAACTTAAATGATATTAAACTGACTTAAAAAAATCGAGTTGAATCTTGTATAACTTATTTTTAAAAAGTTGAAATTGCAGAGGCCTTAAAACCTTCTGGAATATTTCCCCCTTAGTCTTTTGTTGTAAGAGCATTACTGTAACACATTTTGTTGGTTTTATTCAATTGAGAAGTCAAAATTATTTTCAGTAGAGATTATCATTAAATTTTAAAACCATGAAGTGTTCTTTCTTTTGAACTGCCATGCACTAACATGCTTCATGTAAACATTTGATCAAAGTAAAAAAAAAAGTTTTTTCATATGCACAAGTACAGAAGCTTCCGAAGAAATGAGCTAGCATGGAGGCTCACACTCTTATTTTGAATTGATAACATTTGTGTTTTGGCCCATCAGGTGATGAAGTCAATAATAAGTATAGCACATGAATATTTACATTTGCGCAGAGATGTTTAGAAGTCCCGACACATATTGAATAGCATTAATATTATTTCCACTCAACGTTCCAGTATTTGCAACAACGTGAAGGTTGTTCAGCATCTAATATAAAGGCAGATGTGCATCAAAATTGTGAATCATTTCTGAACATCTGAATATAGGCTTTTCACACTTACTTAACTCTGGGTTAACAGCTTTTTAAACCCCAGGTGAAGGCCACTTTTAACCCTAGATTAAGCAACATTCATGCATTTAAAAAAAACTATCAGAGTTTTCACAAAAACTATAATCAGCTCAACTGTGATAATAATAAGAAATGTTTCTTGAGCACAAAATGTGAATGATTTCTGAAGGATCATGTGACTGAAGACTGGAGTAATGATGCTGAAAATTCAGCTTTGCCATCACAAGAATACATTACATTTTAAAATATAATACAATAGTAAACAGTTATTTTAAATCTGAAAATATTTCACAATATTACTGTTTTTATTTTTGATCAAATAAATACTGAGACTTCTTTCAAAAGCTTTTGAGGACACTTGATGGCCACATTTCCATAAATAAACAAGCAGTTGTTAAAAAGGTCACATATGTTAACCCGGGGTAACAAATGTGTGTGAAAAGCCCTTTAAAATGGCAAACACTAATGATTCACTGTAGTTTACTCATTCTCAAAATCACACTATAATGGAGACATCTTTAAAAACGCATTTAATGATTAATAGAGTGTGATGGAGGAATTCGGGAAAACCAAGGGCTGATAAATATGAATGAGTATTTCTGAGGAGTGTGTGTCATGTATGCAGTGTGAGATCCAGAATGCTGTTTGACTGCTTCATGATTTTGGGTGCCGTTCTACAGATGAGTATCACTAAGAAACATTTTGTTGATAAACTATGGACATTAAATGTTTAGAGACTGTTAACTACTTGAAAAGATTTCTATTTTGCTTGTAGTGTTGTTTCCTGTCCATAATTCATTGTGATTCATTGAACATTTAAGAGGCAGATCAGCATGTAAACAGGGCAGAATGCACATAACCAATACTTTCCATAAATAGGGCTTAAAATAAATGTAATAATCAATAATAACAATAACGTGTCAGTGAAAGGAGGTGCACAACCTTCAGAAGATATTGTTTATCAGGAGAGGAAACCACATGTAATATGAGCTGTATTACAATAATTCAAATTGCTAGAATGGGTTCAGAATGGGAAGCATTACAAGTAAAAGTAATCAGATTACTTTTAAGTAACTAACGTAACCCAATACTTTTAAATTTACAACAAAATAGTTACTTTTTTAAAATAAGTAAGTTACTTTGTTTTCCCATTTTGACAGACAGCTCTCCTGTCCACATGTTGAGAGTGATGTCCCTTAAAATAAAATAAAATAAAAAAATATATATATATATTTCTTAATAAAACTCAAATAATAGGGTTGAATGGTTGACATTTGAAACCAGCTATTTGGGATACTGTGAATATTATGTTAGTTAATAGTATATAGCTCTCTGTATGAAGAACTGCGAGATTTTTAAATCTATTACAAAACAACTAACCGGATGCCAGATTGTACCAGTTTGTGGAGAATTCCATCCCCCAAAATTCATTTGCAAGCTTTTTGTAACAAACTTATTCATAGCTGGTTTTTGAAACAAACATTAGTTTACTGTATCATGTTATATTTGAAATGATAGACCAAAAAAAAGCACCAGATAGCTTCTGTGTGTTGACCTGCTAATAATAGCATGTATATCAACCTGACTGTATTTTGCACTTATTTCTGTTTGTTTTTTCTTATGCCATAATAAAGCACACTACTATGAGGGACACACTGTTCTATAAATCTGGGTTGCAAATTCATGAATACATACCTGTAATTTTTTTATAAATTCAAGTTTCTTGTCAAGGGCTTTCATGGCAATAGCTTTCTGGGCTAACATTCATGATCGTTTGCTAATTAAACTGGATTGATGGACGCCGTCTTTTTATGCTTAAACCTAAAACACTGTTTGCAGAAAACTTTGACTGTGATGCAAAGTCTTCCGCTAATTGTTTAATTATAAAATGGGTATATTTTTGTATTATTATTGCATTTTTTAAAACAGTCTTATTGTACTATTATTTATATACTATTATAGTATTTATTCATATTTTCAATTAGCTTTTATTTTATTTTATTCTTTTTTATATATTTTTTTTCTGTGCTTTAATTTATTTTTATTTCAGTTTTAGTCATTTTTGTACTTCAACTTAAACATTATTGCCAACAAAAGTTTTTTTTTTTTTTTTTTTTAAGGGGTTTTCGTGCAATTTTTTATTTTATTTTATTTCAGCACAATTTCAATTACTAAGTTAGAATTCAAATGATTGTTCACCTAAATATGAAAATTCACTTATCATTTACTCATGTCGTTTTAAAACTTTATGCTGTTAATTTTTTTCTGTGGAACAGAATTTGTTCATTTCTTAAATGGGTTTGTAACCTCAGAAGGAACATGAATCACAGCATCCAGCAGTCTGGTTCACTGTACTGGCTCATCTTTATTCAGGACCTCATGGTACTGTATACTGTATGTCACCTTGAAGACTTTAATAACCACTGTGACTTCTTCCATTAACAAAATATAACAGTTACCTCGCTGCTTCAGGGGGGATTTGAGGCATTTTACCATATCATGCAATTAGACGGGTTTAGAGCAAACACACGCATTCCACCTACACACACACACACATATGCACAAGTATGCTTGTTAAAGTAAACAGTTTGTTCCAGTAATCTCAGTTATCTCATCTGGAATGTCTCTGACTGCTCCAAGAGTCCATCATCAAACACACGCACAGAGAGAGAGAGAGAGAAAGAGAGAGAGGCTGAGACACACTCATTTGTTCATCCTCTGACCATTTCTCATTATTTCTCTCTCTCTTGATAGTGACTGTAAGTACTTTTAAAAACAAAATTTGCTCATTCTTTCTTAACAAAAACATATTTTGACACAAATGACGTGGACAGCACTAACTTAACTGCAGTAAACATGATGTGTTTGGTACGGTTGTCGATCATCAATGCCAAGATGCTATTATTTAATAATCAGACACACAAAAATAAGTATAATGCATTTTCTTTATCATAATTAAAGGTGCACTAACTAACTTTTTCAATTGGAATGAATAAATTATTTTCATTCTTTTTCATTATATTGAATTATTATAATAAATTATCATTTTATAATCGGTCAAAATTATTTTGACCATGGCAAAAGTAACCAAAAGCATTACTTAGTGCACCTTTAAATATTTGTCAACTTTTTAAAAAGATAATAATAAAATGCTTTACTAAATAAATAGCACATTGTGATTTTGACAATAATTTGTTGCTGACTGTAAATGTAAAACGTGTGGGTAGGCAAAGACAATCAATGTCCCAAAACATCCACTTCTGCTCAAGTTAACGTGAGACTACATTATCATTTAATTCTGTATTATAGTGCGGATTACAGAGGCGAGCATCATCCCTTCGCCACCTTGTTACTAAAACGCGATACGAGACAATACATTTAGCTAACATTGACGGCAGTCTATACTCTGTCCTTTAGCGCTGCTATATTCCTTGTCTTCTGATTGGTTGTGGATTAAAAGGCTGGCGGGATGTTGTATCCAGGGGGGCGGGTCTCCACGGTCTCGATGAGCGGCGGACTCTGGTAAGCGTTGACGGGGACGGTAGTCTGACCGATTACATCGTTGGAGGGGTACGGCTGCTTGGGTGCCTGGTCGCCCACAGGCTCGGTGGAGAACAGTGTCATGTCTGTACCCAGCAGGAACCTCTGAACAGCGCACACCGTAAGCCCCGCCTAGTCAGGATAACCAGGATTATGCATATTAGTCTGATTAGCATGTTAGTGAGAAACATAACCAAGCTTTTGAACTATTTCAAGCATAGTAGCAAGAGTTAGTTGGAATGCTTGAGTTAACCAAGTTAGAGTATAAACACAAAAGAAAAAGTTATCTGACTAGATCTTGAAGTTCAATTTTATTAGGCTACTTGTTTTTATCATTATATGCGAAGTATGAATATACTACGGAGCCCCCCTAGTCCCACTTTGTCAAAAACATTTATTATAACTATCTCGTGGCCTCAAGATAAGTAACTCGTGGCCTCAAGATAGTATCTCGTGGCCTCAAGATAGTATCTCGTGGCCTGAAGATAGTATCTCGTGGCCTCAAGATAGTAACTCGTGGCCTCAAGATACTATCTCGTGGCCTCAAGATAGTATCTCGTGGCCTGAAGATAGTATCTCGTGGCCTCAAGATAGTAACTCGTGGCCTCAAGATAGAGTTACTATCTTGAGGCCACGAGATACTATCTTGAGGCCACGAGATAGTATCTTGAGGCCACGAGTTACTATCTTGAGGCCACGAGATACTATCTTCAGGCCACGAGATACTATCTTGAGGCCACGAGATACTATCTTGAGGCCACGAGTTACTTATCTTGAGGCCACGAGATAGTTATAACGAATTTTTTTGACAAAGTGGGACTAGGGGGCCTCCGTAATATACCAATATTTATGACACATTATTCTTGTTTTTAAGTCTTTAAGCCCATGTTTAGTTATTATAGAGTGCATGCTTTGTATTAACCGTATTGATAGCACTTTGTACTACTATCAGACTAGCATAGTTTAGAGTGCACTTGAGAGTAGAACAGGAAATCTACATCTACACTATTGAGAGACTGTTAGTCTGTTTGGACAAAAGCCTCTGTGTATCCTCCATAAAGGCAGTGTTCTTAAAACTGTGCACTGCTAGAAGACATAGATAAGCCTGAAACACAAACACCAACATTGGCGCTCAAAAATGAACGTAATTGTGACTGTATGTATCTGGGAAGGTGCGATGTCTTACCCAGGTAAGGATGGAGAAGAAAGAGAAGGCAATAGCTGCTCGTGCTGCGTCTGACGCCTGCTCCAGCGGCAGCTCCTTAGGGGACGTACGGCTCCACTGATTGGCCAAAAAACAGAATCCTACAAACCAAAGGAACGTCCAAAATCCTAAAGGGAAGGGATGGGAAAATGTCAATAATACTATTATGTAATACAATTATTATCATGCAAAAATACTGTCAATTTCAGCTATTGGGTATATTGGGGTTAGATATAGTTATTATTATTTTTAAAGTCCATTACTTGACATAAAATAAACGTTAACTGAAATAAAATTAAAAAACGCAAACATTTTGAGAGCGAATGCAAAGTTTTTCAAGGAAAACACAAACACTTTTAAAGAGAGAGCAAGGTTTCTCAGTGGAAACGCAAACTTTTTGAGAGAGAACGCAAAGGGGAACGCAAACATTGTGAGAGAGAACGCAAAGGGGAACGCAAACATTTTGAGAGCAAACGCTAAAGTTTCTTGGAGGAACGCAAACATTTTGAGAGCGAACCAAGTTTCTTGGGGGAACGCAAACATTTTGAGAGCGAACACAAAGGGGAAAGGAAACATTTTATGAGCGAACACAAAGTTTCTTGGGGGAACGCAAACATTTTGAGAGCGAACACAAAGTTTCTCGGGGGAACGCAAATCAATTTGAGAGCAAACGCAAAAGGGAAAGCAAACATTTTGAGAGCGAATGCAAAGTTTCTTGGAGGAACACAAAACATTTTGAGAGCAATCACAAAATTTCTCGGGGGAACACAAACATTTTGAGAGTGAACGCAAACATTTTGAGAGCAATCACAAAGTTTCTCTGGGTAACAAACATTTTGAGAGCGAACATAAAGGGGAACGCAAACATTTTGAGAGCGAACGCAAAGGGGAACACAAACATTTTGAGAGCGAACGCAAAGGGGAACGCAAACATTTTGAGAGCGAACGCAAAGGGGAACGCAAACATTTTGAGAGCGAACACAAAGGGGAACGCAAACATTTTGATACCGAAAGCAAAGTTTCTCGGGGGAACACAAACATTTTGAGAGTGAACGCAAAGTTTCTCGGGGGAACACAAACATTTTGAGAGTGAACGCAAAGTTTCTCGGGGGAACACAAACATTTTGAGAGCGAACGCAAAGTTTCTCGGGGGAACACAAACATTTTGAGAGCGAACGCAAAGGGGAACGCAAACATTTTGAGAGCGAACGCAAAGGGGAACGCAAACATTTTGAGAGCGAACGCAAAGGGGAACGCAAACATTTTGATACCGAAAGCAAAGTGTCTCGGGGGAACGCAAACATTTTGATACCGAAAGCAAAGTTTCTCGGGGGAACGCAAACATTTTGAGAGCGAACGCAAAGTTTCTCGGGGGAACGCAAACATTTTGAGAGCGAACGCAAAGTTTCTCGGGGGAACACAAACATTTTGAAAGCGAACGCAATGCTTCTCGGGGGAACGCAAATCATTTGCGAGAGAACAGAAAAGCATTGACATAATTTTCCCTCACATCTCATATGGGTGCCTGTATCAGTGACTGTAAATGTAGAAGTAAATAAAAAACACTCACTGGATATTACTGTAACTGCATTTCAGACATAAAATCCATGTGATTAATGACTGAAAATTTTTACCTGAAAAAACAATCTCCAACAACACTGCCCTCTTTCTGTCTTTGACACTGCTGATCTGGGGGAAGTAGACGTCCAGGGCCAGGAAGAAGACACTGGCTAAGAAAGCCACAATTCCTATCGTGATACCATAGTTACAGGCGTCTGCGTTCTTATTAAAGACACAGTGTAGTCGCTCGCTGCCCATATTCACATAGCCCTCATTTATTATAGAAGCAAAGACCACCATGGAGAAGATCTAGAGAGAGAAAAGACATAAGTCACAAAAATAGGTCCATAAACTTCATCCCTAATGTTAAATTAATAAAAACCCTTCAATTATTTGCATTCTCAGAAGGCATCTAAGTAAAGCTTCTCTTCTCTTATATTATACATGCTAAATGGAAGTGACACATCATTCTCTTTACCGATGCCGTGCAGTAGAGTGCATTTCTCCAGAAAGAATTTCATTTACACCTCAAGGAGAAAATGTGGCTAATTCACACTAATGCAACAGATCACGCACTCAACCACACCCACTCAAACAAGACAAGAGATTAATAAAAAAGTGTGTGTGTGTGTGTGTGTGTGTGTGTGTGTGTGTGTGTGTGTGTGTGTGTGTGTGTGTGTGTGTGTGTGTGTGTGTGTGTGTGTGTGTGTGTGTGTGTGTGTGTGTGTGTGTGTGTTGGAGTAGCAGTAAGAGAAAATCAGTAGCAATGCTCAGGAATCATGGTGCCATGTGCTATTTTTGGCAATGAAACTCCATATACTGACGCATACATCACATCACGCAGTCGTCATAGAAACAGTTGCAGCTGCTTTGGTTATTGGCTGGCTGCATGAAACATTGTGTTAAAGGAAGAAGCAACATCAAACATGCCTCTAGGAAGCCCTATCTGATCCCCTTTTGTTGGTGTAACCCAATGCAGCCAGGTTGATTCAGTCATTAAATAACATACATTGAATTAAATCAGCCAGTTTTAAAAAAGATTTTTAAAAATCAAAACACTATCTCCCTCTGCCCTTAGGCACTGATCTGGTAATGGGTGCGTCATATCTGTCATCCATGAAGTTACTGGTACGTTTATTTATAGTTCAAGGCAAGCTCACTGTGATACTGTAAAAGGGAAAAGTTTCTGCCAAAACAATACAGTACATATATATATACAGTATATACTACTGTTATAAAAAAAAAAAAAGAAAAATCATGTGTCTAGTAAATAAGAGCTGGTATTAATATTTTGTGTTTAAAACAATGTTTAAGAAAACACTATTGATCAGACACAAATGGCATCTAAGTAAACCAAGTGGAAACATGACATTTAGAGGTGAATCAATGACTTTACAGTTTGGTAGGGACATCAGAATGTGCGCAGTCTCTTCCTCTTAACTTTCATATTATTTCATAAGATGTTATGATAGGCCTAGAATGAAGAATACCTGCAATATTTTTTCATGAAATATCACCCTTGTTTTTTGTTAATCATATTATTATAAAAGTCGCATATTTATTATCATATTTTAAGAATGACCCAAATTGCAACCAGTAGCACAATAGCCATTTAAAAAACTGCGCGCATGCGGTGCGTGCGTCACTACCACAGCAACATCTGACGCGCGTCCACCTAAAGACAGTATCCTATAATAACACCCAATCATTCAATTACATGATTGCAAACGGCTTTAATGTAATACAAATTGTCAAAAAATAAAAATATAAAACGCGTGGTGGAAAATCAACCCGTTATTATATTCCTTTGACTATAAGGGGAATATAAACGACGGCAATGCATAATCTGCCAATCATAATTCATAGTCATTGCTGCTCACCCATGCCAGCACTCTTAGGATTGTCTGAGGTTGTTTGACGAATGCGATCGGATCAAAGGCCGAACCGGCTCGGCCCGCTCCAAACGAGCCCGGTCCATCCATCCTCCCGCTGACTGCTACTGCTGCTGCTGTGCGATACTCTGCGGAAGAGGAGAGCGGGCGCGTTCACGGGTTCCTGTCTTGCACACCCATAGTCGGGCGCGCGCCTGTGCGTGTTAAATAATGGTGGGGATTTTGATTCATCTCAGTGACTCGAATCTTTTGAATCAGTTCACCGAAAAGATTCATTCAGATGCGGTTGTAGCCTATCCTGTTTATCGTGCGCCAGTAGGTGGAAACAAGTCTTCGACTTAGGGTTGCCACCCGTCCCTTAAAATACGGAATCGTCCCGTATTTGTGAAATAAACAGCGCGTCCCGTCTTGAATCAATACGGGACGCGGTTTGTCCCGTATTTCCGAGTTGTCTTAAATGCATCATCACATGCAAATCATAACACCCGCATTCTGTGAAGACTCGTCCTATTCTACCCTTGATTGGGTAATACTCGCTGCCATTGTTGGTTTGATTGGTTTGTTTAATAACATCAGGTTCAGGGCCAATCAGAGTCAGAGGAGGGCGGGTCTTTTGGCAGAGAGTTGATAGCAATGCTAGCTTAGAGAAATCAAAGCACCGTCTCACAGTTCTTCATACGTTAAGGATCTCCCGAAGCAGATAGTCATAGTGTAATGATGACAGTTTTTTAATCAGCTCAATAATGTTCTGATTGATTACGTTTTCATATGCTCCATACCCTATGCCCATTTGCTAAGAAATAATGTTTCAATGTAAATGAATTATATCCATACATTATGGTATGATTTGTTTATTATAGTTAAGGTAGTCAGACACATGCATTTTTTAAATAAGAGAGAGAGATATTTAATAGGCCTACATATTTAATAATAAAAATGTGCATGTGTGAAGAAAATGACTTATGCTTAACAAATCTAGAGAATAGGTCAATAGGTCTGAATACATAAATAAATAAATACATAAATAGATTTTCTTACCAATAATAAAAATAGTGTTATAATTAAATTTAGAAATGTTTGTAGATTATAGGTTATTTATGTGTGGTATCACTGTTTGGATGGTGTTACATGTTTGAAAAAAACAGCTACTCAGTGCTGCATGGAGTGACAAGTACACTTAACGCCTATAGTCCAATACTGCACAGTACTACTGGTCTACTGATGTTTTTGATGTTCAAGATCCTTTGCTAAAGTCATAGTTTTTTCCAATCAAATTTAGTATTTGTTTGAGTATCAACACATTTGTTTAATTTATAGTGAATAATTTATGGATCTGTTAATTTAATAAGTTAATAAGTTAACATCTCACATACAACTCCGACGAAAGGCCATTTTTTTTGTAATCTCATTGTCACACTTTGTTAACGTTGTTTGTGATAGAGAGTGATTTATTCACAATGATTTCAATAGCAGATAGCTTATTATAATGTCCATTGGTATGATCTTATTACTTTCCTGAAAAATATGTTTTGAGTTATGATACCATTGGCATACCGTCGGGCCTGTGGTCATTGTGGCCCTGAGGGCTTTGGCCCCCGCTGCGGCCGCCGGCAGGCGTCCCTTATTTTTTTGTATTGAAGGTGGCAACCCTAAACCCTACCCATACCCTGGTTGTGTTTAAAATCACCCCAGCACACTCATTCACTAGTCCCCATATATTTATCCACTAATATAGTCCCCTTGAAGGACTGAATGAAAACGAGTAAGTGAATTCAGACACTGACTGCGCCAGAAGGGCTGCTGCTTCTACATAGTTTATGTGTTTGTGTGGTAGTTACAAAAATAGATAAATAATAGTAAATAAATATGTGAAATGTTATGTGACAAGATAAGAATATATTTATCAAATGTATTTGTGTGTATTAATTTTTCTGACGATTGATGTTCCCTGCGTGCTCAGCCTTGAATGATCGATCGATTGTTTGATGAGTGTTCGCCTGCTTGGGGAGGGGGCGCGCACGCTGCTAAAACAATACACAGATTGAAGCAGAAGCAGCTCCATGTCCTGTGTTTCATGAATACATATATCTTCTCATCAGGCGGTGAGAGTACTACATTTTGGAGGCACAGCTGGGATGAAATGCAGTGAAGCTCGGCCTCCATAGATGATGGTCTACCTCCAGTGTCATTCATTCTTACTTGCGGCTGAGGAGAACAGAGTGAGAACGTCTGGCGTCCACGTTAAGTCCGGAAGAACAGTGCGTGCTATCTGAGGTTGATTGTTGATACCCCAGAATATTGCCATTTTCCAACCAGCTAAGACTGCTTTTCTGCATCACACTGCACACACCCACAGCCCAAATGAACCGGATCAGTTAGAGGACTTAAGACTTGAAGTGATAGGAGTATTGTATTCACTATCAAGAGAAAACCTTGTGAAATATTGAAGGGAGTCAACATGTTATCGACAAAAGCCGCTTATTTGTCATTTCTGCACTTGTGAGACATCTTGAGAGGGAGGGGTTAGAAGAACTGGAAGATGAGGGCATGTCAGAACTTTTGTGTGTAAGAGACAAAATTTGTGAACTTCAACAGGGGAGTGAAAATATCTCCGAGCAACAGACAGCACAGGTGGTTCAGAGCGTGACTGTAGACTCATTAGTGCAGGTCACAGAGCAAGAAAAGCTACAAAAAGAAATTGATACATTGCAGTTAGCCAGGCAAAAACTAATTGAACAAAAACATAACACTGTTACAAGCACACAGCAGAGTGTTAGTGCCCCACACCACACAAACACAAATATGCAGCTAAGCTATGACACACAGCAAAGCACAAACACACAAACTACCACCCTAAATTGGAACTCAGTGTCTACACGACAGGTTATGTCAACATGGAGCCAGGGCCGTCCATAAGGGGGGATAAAGGGGAACGTTTTCTGGGGCCCAGCCGCTAGGGGGGGCCCATGCAGTCCAGCAATAATTATGTTCATCCTAAATATAAGCAAAGGTTACCATATTTTATTTTTAACCAAAATAGCACCATTTATTGTTGAAAGTGAGAAAAAAAATCCATTTTATTTAATGTTGCTTGAGTAAAATGTAGCCTGTGTCATAATGAAACACCCCTCTCCTGAAAATGGTCTAAGTAGGCTATTTTGTTGTACGTAAGTCAAAACGCCAGTGCTTCGCGAGTTCGCGCCAGTTCACGGTCAGCAGCACAAGTGAGTGACACGATGGAGTGCGCGAATTGACACGGTAAGACCATAGACAGTAAAAGAAAAAGTAAGACCTATTGCTCACCATCTCTCCAGTGTGATTGAAGCAATCGATTGCCTAAAATCGTCCTGTAAATTATCTAATGAGGCCTTATCAGATGCGCGAGGACTGAGAGAATATTTCATGTCATTTACAGCAGTTGTCATGTGCACCGTCCAGCTAAAACTACTACAACATCTCGAAGATAGGATGGAATTTGCTTCTGCAGAGTGGCAGCCTTATGGTGTGTTCACACCGAACGCGAATAGAGCGTCAAATACGCGTCTATCGCGTCTAGTTAGACGCTTGAACATTTGCTCGAGTTCAAAATTTTTCAACTTGCGCGGAAGACGTTCACGGCAAACGCGTCGCCCAATTCGCGTCATTCGCAACGCCCGGCGCGAATGATGCGTCTATTCGCGTCTTTGCATTGACTTTGTATGTAATCTACTCGCGCAAATAATTAAATACGCGTTCGGTGTGAACACACCATTAGATATTGGACAGGTCGCGGGAATGGGGTTGTTTCATGACAATTTTCTTTTCTTTTTTTCATTGGTTGTTGTGTTAAATCGTACCCAGATACAACAGTGCTATTTTCTGATTGGCTTTTGTGTAGCTCGACTAACAACACAGAGGAGACGCGCTTGATTCCTGCCGGGTGAGAGCCAAAGTGAGAGCGTCGCGGCCAGAGACATTTTGGCCGCTGCGGCAAATTCTATTATAGGCTAAATCGTTTTTCCGCGTGAGAAATACAATATGTGGCGGGAGTGCGTGACAAAATGCCGAAATGAGTGACTGTCATGCTCAATGCGTGACACTTGAAAGCCCTGTGTGTGTGTGTGTGTGCGTGTGTGTGTGTGTGTGTGTGTGTGTGTGTGTGTGTGTGTTTGTTTTGTCTTGTAGAGGCCATGCAGAGGCCGTACTATGCGGACTACTCTCCAACACGCCTCTATATTCACACGCTCTGCACTAGTCATTATCTGGACCTCTTCATCACCATCATCATCGCCATTAATGTCCTTACAATGTCAATGGAGCACTACAGACAACCCAAGGTTTGGTGCATTACACACACACCGCTTCTGCGGGGCAATGACATGAGCAATAGGTTAACAAAAATGCTAACAGAGTTTTAGCATTTCATGTTTTAAGTCAACATATGGCCAGCCTAGTGTTATTTTAGTCTTTTAGTTATTCAGCCTTTTATCATTACTATACTATCTTAGTATTTGTTGATATTTTTAATTAGTTTTAGTATTTAGTTTTTTTTTTTGTTTTTTTTTTGTTGTAATTTTGATGTTTTGAACTATAGACCCCATCACTGAGTAAGTCTCTCTCAGTTAAATGTATGTGTTAATGTTGGAGAGAGAGAGAGCACACGCATGATATGAGTAGCCTATTGCAGATTTGGGGAGGGCCCATTTACTGGACCTTTTCAGGGGCCCAGTCATTTCTGTGGGCGGGCCTGCATGGAGCAGAGAGTTCAGAATATCTGGCCAGATAGGTGAACCTGGGCAAAAAGACAAACTCTCCTTCTCAAGTCTAGCTCACCAAATTGAACATGGACGGAGCATCTGCACAAACACACATCAGTACAAATTGAATGCAGAGTGCAGTCGTACCAACCAAAAGAAGAGACCTTGCTAATTTTTTAGCCTGACGTTAACCCACAGTGGGCAGAGGGGAGTTCTGTGAGATGATGTGACCCTGCGGCAACATACATCTCCACACATAATTGTCAGTGAACAGAACCCTACGGATCATGACCTACTGTTAGCAGGCAAGATGGTCATAGGCACAGTGCAACCTGTACAGGCTGTGTATCCAATTGCTACTTTTGAGGGACCTGGCTTAACTTTTGTGAGGGTCAATCAAATAAAAAATGAAACCAGCC